GCCTCTGCAGCTTCAAACCCGAGCAGGAGCGCGCCGATCCAGAACGAAGAAATCAAAGTAATCTGGACTCTGCAGTGCAAGAATCAAAATCGATTTGTCAACCACTTAGGAGAAGTGGCGTGCTCAGTTCATATAAATGACTTCTACGACTGATTTTACATAGATGGGATTATGCCTATTCTCTGGTCTCCCCGAAGGTTGACTTGCCAGAATCTGTGTCGTTTGCGGCGCACCTGCTGTTTGTTTGTGAGCCCCCGGGAACCGGTCGGTGACAGCTCCGATGCTGCTCGATGGCCATGTTTGGCACGAATTGGCTCACTCGGGTAATCTGATGGTGGCAGTTTTTGCTCCGAATCCGTTGGCTGTATCCGTGAAGTTGTGTGGACCTCACGGCACGGCGTTGGAGGACGGTTGAGCAGCGTTCAGCTCTGGCCTAATGTGGTGTCGAAAGTCGTTCAGATGGCTAGTCAGTATTCGGGAAAGGAGTGCTGGTGTGGGTATCTTTGACTGCTGTAGATTGTTTAGGGTGCTGCTAATGCTAGTTGCAGGCACAATCATTATAATTCAAATGGACGTTTTTTGAAGTCTTAGACAGCTACCGCCCCACACGGGCTGCACTTTTTCTTGTAGGATGCTCTTTCGCAGCTACGAGTATGTGTGTTTTATGGGAACCACAACACATAATAAGGTGATACGGACGGGATATGTGAGGAGTATGTTCATTGCAGTTTGCACATTGAGAAGAGACTTCAGTACCGGCCTGCCGACGGATCCCCGATCCCCCACCCTCCGGTCGACAAGGCCGGAGGACGTTTGGTAGGGACGTTTCCGAACCAAACGTCCCTGACAGGGCTCCCGTTCCTATACTTTCTCAGCTCTATAACGGAGCTCCCGATCCCAGCTTTGGCCACACTCCCTATCCCGCAGCTGCGACAGGGCTCAGACAGCTGCGGGAGCCGGGACGTCTGAACGGGTCCGATTCAGGGATTGGCTTTGAACCGGCGAGGTCGGCGGCCGCTTCAGCCGGTCGGCCGCGCTCTCCGTGGCTCTGAGCCGACTCGTGACGTCCCCTTGACTCTCAGTCGACTCGTGGCGCTCTCCGTGACTCGGAGCCAACTCGTGTTGTCTCCGTGACTCTCAGTCGACTCGTGGCGCTCTTCGTGACTCTGAGTCAACTCGTGGCACCCCGTGACAGTGGCACACGGACAGAGAGACAAAGAAATCACCGGACCGGTTGGCGACGGATGCCGCGTTACCGCCCCCCCCCCCCCCCCCGGCCGTGGCCTTGGGCAGGTGCCGTCCCCACTGTGATAGTGATGAGCCTGACCGTCAGACGGTATAAACCCATCGATGCAACCGGCTTTCTCCGTTTGGGACAAGCCTTAGCCACCCTGGGGCCAACTATCAGACCACAGGGCAATGCGCGAATGGAACACACTGAAGCGGGATCCCCATCCATACTGTCTGCCATCTACTCGTAATGACGGTAATACTCTGCTTACATACTGGCCTGCTAACGGTGACGTGTGATATAATGACGTTCGGAGCCGGCATCAGTGTGCTCCATTTTCGCATTGCTTAGTGGTCTGATAAGCTGTCCCCAGGGTGGCTAAAGGCTTATGCAATAGCCCTCGCCCGTAAACGGCGATCTGCCACCTTCGCCCATGCAGGGGGGGGGGGGGGTTGGTGCGACCCCCCCCCCCTTGGCTTTTGAAAACGGAGCGTCGTAGAGCTTAGCGGAAAAAACCAACGGATTGCTCTCGCCGAGATCTCGCGATTGGTGGTATATTTTTTGGTCCTAGGTCAACATTTGACCTACTTTTGACCGGTCAAAGGTCAAATTTTCGAAAAAATAGACTTTTTCAACTTTCCGCGGCGATTGCGGCAAAACGGTGGGAGATATCGACTTGAAACCTTCACTATCGTGTTCCTTGATCAATTCTCTATCGTTTGGTATCTATTTCGTTTCCCTAGCTCTAAAAATGGCGCGTTGGGAGCGCCGGAAGTCGGCAAGGTCACAGTCGGCGGCAGAAATTCGAAAAATCAAAATTTAAATTTTTGAAATCTGATTGTATTTTTGGATTTGGAAGGTCCATTTGCTCCCTATAGAAGCTAATATTGCTGCATATTCCCATTGAGGTGACAAGAATTAGCAAAATAGTGGTTCGGGCGCTTTTCAAAAATACTACCGGACGCTGTTCCTCTTGTGACGTCATAGCTCCGTGACCTGACCTGACCCGGTCAAGTTTCTTATACCATATGATAGCCAATACTTGCCCCAACATGCATGGGAAGTTTCATTACGATCCATCAACCGATGTCCGTACCACCGGCAGGAAACCTCGGGCGTTGGCACTCAGTTTGTGAAAATCCGGCCGGAGGCTGTTCCCTTTGTGACGTCATAACTCCGTGACCTGACATGACCCGGTCAAATTTTTTTTATCAAAAGATGCGCAAGGTTTGCCCCATAAGGTACCCAAAATTTGGCGGCGCTGCGCGCCGCCGTTTTTGCACTATTTCCGAAAAACCTCAGGGGGGAGGGGTTGCACCAACCCCCCCCTACATGGGCGAGGGATAGACATAGTTTAGGCACCGTGATGCTGGACCAGGATGGCTGGCTGGGTAATGGATATACACGTAGAAGTTATAGAACGGTTCATTGGAGCGCGCTGACAGAGTGGTGTTCTGTATGCAAATATTAATACTCGTGTCGGGCGCTGCGTGCATTGCACGGAAAGTAATTCCCCGTGCCTCCCGAGTCCCGATGACTTCGAAGCATCACTCTGCATAGTGGCTAATCTGTGACGCATATCGTGACATGGTGCGCTCGGCATCTGTATCCACTTAGCCTGCAATTATTCTGAAAGCCTCCTGCCGTGTCGCCGTCACTGACCGGGTGTCGTGCGTCCGTCCGAAACAGTTTAACATTTATGGCTGTCATAATCTGGTGCCGGCGTCATTAAAGGCAATATACTCCTGTCTGCAGGCGATTCGGAGTCATGCATCACTCAGTTCGATGACAGTATTTGCGTCAGTTATACGTTCTGTTTCCACGGGGTGACACAAATAGAATATAGTGACTCGTTATGGGGCGTTACTCAGTAGTCATTACTGCGTCGTAAGTCTGGGTCGAGCCTTGAGATAACTTAAGGCCGAACTGGATGGGGGGGGGGGGGGCGCTGGCTGCACCGATGGAAGTGTTGACGTTATAGTGGTGCTCAAATAAATACCATTCCCGGCATTTTTGCACCCTGGCTTCCTCCCATTTCTGAGGGTTGTCGTTGACCTGTCGATGTAACGTGTATCTATCGGTGCTCCGAGCAAACAGTTGCCGACCCTGCCTCGCCCCCCGTTCCAGCCCTTTCCGTACCCCGTTACCCCGGTCTATGGACGCTGACTGCCCTGTGCTGTGCTGCACCTTGCCGCACCTTGCCGTGCCGTGGCGGTCTCAGCTTGCCGGCGCGGTGGTTAGTTGCTGGCTGGCGGCTGCTGCAGCATGGCAGAACCGCGGTATTCGGGGACGATGATGTAATGCCGGTAGGTTTCTAATCCTGTCAGCGGCTCCCTTTTTCCCGGCGCGGCGGTGGGACGCGCTGTCACGGCACCCGCATGGTCTCTTGACATCAACCACCAATCGGCCACCATGGTGATGTAGGAGAGACTGGCGTCGGTTTAAATGTGAAATAGGATTGATGGCGAATCGACTGATCACTTGGACTGATGTGAGACTGACCTGGGGTTGCGGTGTATCACTGATGTCACTAGAGGACTGGCGTTCGTAAATTGACTTTAAGTATGTATGTTTACCGACGACTTGTAACGACTGAAGGCTCGCTGATAAAAAAGACGTCATAGTTGTGACAGTAAATAACTGATAACGGCGCGGGAGCCGCTAAGCACTGGGGATGTCCAGCAGTCGTAGTGACGACTGAGTCCGGACCTCGGCCCGATACCGATGGGTTATTCCCGCTGCTCCCCCCCCCCCTCCCCACCATCTTAAGGTTATTTCATAGCGACTTGGGGAGTATAGGAGTATATCATGGACCGGGGAGGAAGAGATCAGCACCTCCGCCTCTGCCTCTGCGCTCAGCTACTTATCTCGTTTGCGGCACGAGTTGGCCGATATCCCCATACCACTGACCGTCTCCGGGCGGTGCAGAACAGTTCAGGAGAGTAGGCCGCGTCCCAGGGCGGCTGTATAATGGCGGTGGCACCGCCGGGTCCCGTCTGGCCGTGCCACCGGGCTCCGAGGCTCCAACGCTACCGCATGACTGCGGACGGTGCTGTGGTGTAGCCAATTAGCCCGAGTACCTGCATACTGGCACGGCCGCCGCGTGCCGTGTCGTATGCCAATGGTTGGTTTGGGACCGGGAAGGCTCTGGGGTCAGTCGGTACAGGACCGGTCTTGACCGGTGAGGGTAGACCATGACGATCCTCACAGACTAGGAATCGTCCGCAGCCCCTTGTTCTTCAGCCAGGTGATGTAGATATATTGATGTGGCCGGGAGGGTGTATTCTCAGTGATTCAGCAGGAGGTTAGTGATTCGTACAGGACAGTGACTGATGTGTTTCAGTCAGCGTGTGTGGCCCAGACAGCATTTAATGTTTGTTTGTTTGTTTGTTTGTTTGTTTGTTTGTTTGTTTGTTTGTTTGTTTGTTTGTTTGCATGTTTGCTTGGCTGTCTGGCTGGATTAGTTGCCTCCCTTGGTCTACATAGCTAGCCCATTTCAAGGCTATCGGATCAGAGGGTGAGTGGGCGAGTCATAAAAATTATGTGACCAGTGGCTAGTGCGCCGCGGCGGCTGAGCCCATCCCTTGGGACATGCACACTGCACAGTCACCCCTGAGGAGTGTGCTTCAGCTGAGCTGTCCTCGACGGTTGGCTGGTGTAGGTGACTGCCAGGTCGGAACGAGAGAGACTGTCCATTGTCCAAGGATAAGGATGGGTCGTCGGGTAATTCCTGAGTATGAAAACTGACGAACATTCTCCTGTGTTTCAGCCGGAGGCGTTTGAGCTGCTGCCTGACTGGAGTGGGGACGAGGAGGAGCTGATATCGCCCGTCCATCCCGACAACCGGCTCGGAACACTGCCCAGGCCGTTGTCAGAGGTAGGTGGAGCTGAGCTAGGGTGCGGTGAGGTCTGGAACAGGGGTGAGGGAAGGGAATTACAACCCAGACCGTTGTCAGAGGTAGGTGGAGCTGAGCTAGGGTGGGGCGAGGGAAGGGAACACAGCCCAGGCCGCGCTCTCAGACCTGTGGGAGGAGCTGAGCTAGGGTGAGGTGAGGTCTGGAACATGGGTGAGGGAAGGGAACACAGTCCAGACGACACTCAGAGGTAGGTGGAGGGGAAAACAGTCGTGCCCTTGCAGGATGGAATGTGGGACAGTCTGAGGGAGGACTGAGGTGATGGCGTCATTGTAGCAGAATGGGCCATGGGAAGGAGGCTTTCGACATCGAATAGTGTGGTGTTGACGTCACTAAGGGGACTTTTTTACGCCTCTGAGAGAGCACGATGGGCTGTGTGGGTCTGATGTCACTGAAAGGAATGACAAGGCAGTGACGTGATTCGGAGAAAATCGCCAGTCGGTTCAATGCACCCCGTGAAAGGAAAATTACAGGTCGTTGTGTAAAATTGATGAGCGCATGGCGCATGCCATATTTTATGTCTTCACATGCTACGTTTTTTACCTATCTCTGACCAAGTCTGCATAATTCTGACGGCGCACCTTCAGGTCGTCTGCATGAGGAAAATTATGGCTCCGTCCTTCGGCCAATTCTAATGCACAATCGGGCTCATTCTTTGTCAGCGTCACTAAATCTCCTTCCATCGACGAGCCGACGTCATACACGCCGTTTTCCTGGTGGCGGGCTCGGCTCGGTGCGCCGTTTCCCCGCCGGTTGCCGACGTCTGGACAGCCACGTCCTTCCCGAAGCCCCCTCCCTCCCTCCGCTGCCTGTCGGGCAGGTAGGCCTGCCTGCCTGCAGCGGCGACCGGCCGGCGGCGCGGCGGCGAGCCGAGCGGGGAAGGAGGGAGGGGTGACGGGTGCAGGCCAGTTCTGACCGAGCGACGCCAGTGTCTCCGCCGCGGCCGCCGCGCCGACAGCGCCGCCCGGGCCGCCAGGGCCGCCGTGTCGCCGTGAGCCGCGCGTGTGTATCGATCCGTGACCTGCTGTCGTGACCGTGATCTCGTATCGTGACCGTGCTCTCGTGCCGTGATGGGTGGGGCTCGCTGACCGCGTGCCGTGACCTCAGGCGGCCGGCCGCCGACTGCCCAGTCCGGACCGGCTGACCCGCGCCCGGACTCGTCGCTTTCCGGCCCAGGTGATTCCGCTGGATGTCACCGGTCACAGCTTCGAGAGGCAGCTCCAGTTCCGCCGGTCGCTGGTGCAGGTGAGATGACAGGGACGGAGGGTGTGTAATGTGTATACTAGGGCAGGGAAGGATGGATAAGGGTGTGCTGTCTAGTCTAGGGACGACTGGTGGATGGAGCTTGTTCCTGGTAAGAGCAGGGAAGGGTGGACAGAGGTGTGCTTTCTGATCGAGGGAAGTCTGGCGGGTGGGGATTGTTCCTGGCACAAAAGGATGGAGGGATTCCGGGATTTCTTGAGAGGAAGGGACATGAGTCATGGGTATGTCCATTGGATAGGTGGGTGGGCTGGTTAGTTCCCATGATCATGGTAGAGGGAACGGAATAGGGCATGCTCTTTGCTCAAGGGTAAAGGGGTGGGTGTGGGAGTGTTTACGACGTCGGCGAACATCCGTTCGACTTTCTGGTGTTTGAGTGAACGTTTCTCGTTCTAATCACCCTTGATCGCACGAACTCCCGCAGCCGCCCCGTTCACAAGGGACAATGACTGCTGTATTGTGCCGTGTAGTGTCTCCAGTTGGGCTGCTTTGTCCAGTGATGACGCCATTAGTTCCCGGAACTGGGCAGCTGTTCCCACAGTACCCAGACCCAAGGTCGTTCACTCGGGGAACTATTGTCTTCCCCGGCCACCCGGCGACGGTTGGGTCTGTCCGCTCCTCCCCTCCGCCCGCTCACGAGTCGTTACCGTGAGTCCGTGCAGGCTGTACGAACCGGCCGCCTTTCTATGTCCGACAGGTGGATCTGAAGGCCGCTGAGTCTGCACAGTTGCACGGCCCGTCCCTTCCCCTCCCTCCCTGCTGTATTAGGGATCCTCTGACACAGACCCTCCCTGTGTCTATCGACAGTACGAGTACGTGAAGAAGCGGCGGAGAAAACGCTCCAAGCAGCGACGAAACACCATCGGCAGCTCGAGCGACCTGTCCAGCGCGCTAGAGGACGTCGGGTCTGCAAGGTGAGACATCTACGACGAAGTGAACGTACAGGAATGCTCGAATTTAGACAGTTCTTGAGCCTAAACAGTGAAGTGACACCCTGTCCGATTCAGCCATCAACACTGCAATGGACAGTTCCGCTAAAAGACAGGACACCGATTTAGCCGATACGACACTGAGCAGGGGATAAACAGAGTATCTGATGAGATCGGCGCCGCGCTTGACAGACAAGTGAGCTGCTGAACAGCGAACACCGCTCAGCCAGAACACCGATTCAGTCGGAGCTATGCTGGATATGCTGGATAGCTAGGACAAGCCAGCTTTGCGCTGGACACCCAGAAGAGTATGCAGAGAGCGCCGACTGGTTTGGGACGGGGCAGGTCAGCTGGTACAGTATTGTGGCACGATAGGCAGCACCGTGCTGAGACCAGTATGGTTGGTACATGCTGAGCACGGTTTGACCGGTCGATTGGGGTCTGCTGGGTTCGAGTGGACCATGACCAACCCGCGGGGGTTGTGTGGATCGTGAAGGTACGATACGAGCACGAGACAGGATGAGTCAGCCCGTTTGCTCTGCACCGAGTCGGCTGGATTCTCCCGTGTATTTATACCAACACTGCCCCGCTCGCGGTGCTGTGGTCACTGTGGGACCGTACTGGTATATCCCACGGCTATCGTCTGTCCACAAACGTCCCTGCGATGCTTGCTCTTCTCCTAAAACTTCAGAAACGCCGGGTACCACCAGTCCACCCACCAGTTATCGGTAACTCGGTCACTCGACTGAACGAACCGTTCTCAGTAGGCTTCTTTGTCGACTGCAGAGAGGGATGAATCTGTTGATCAGTCGCCACTCCCCATCCCAGGACTTGTTTGACGCCGGTGTCGGCCGACGGTCGGAGGTGTCAGTTTCTTTGTCGGCGGCATTTACACCGGTGTTATCCCCCTGTCCGATGTACCGATACCTCGTACTTCGATCCTCGGCGTGACGCTTGGCCTCTGTCTAGGCCTTGACTCTCGCTCCCTGCCATCCCCTCGCTCCCCAACCCGACCCAGGCCGACCTACCGGCCGGTCGCCAGTAGAACATACCAAATTGTACCGCCCCCTCTTACAGGGCTGGTCAAGTGGTCCAGCTAGTTTCTGTGGGACGAAGCACACCTGTCGACCCTGCAGTTTTGGCGACGGCCCAGTGAATAGAGGGTCAGCTCTGCCCGCCGCTGACCTTATATGGGCAACTCTCCCTAGACGGACCCACCGAGTGGTTCGATGTTGTGTTGCCGGTTGCAGAGTCCGGCTTTAGCATAGATGGTGACTGTCGATAAGGCGTACACCTCTGACCCGAGCCTTGTCGACAGTCAACGTCTCGAAGATGCAGTGACACCCAACCTGCTGTGGGAGCCCCGCGCTGCATCGGGTCGTTTAAGCTGGACGTCTTACTACAATTGAGTTGATTCGATAATTCTTAGTGAGGTTTGAACTGGTGATCGAACGCATCGCGTCGATCACCATCGCGTATCTATGTGAACGCATCGCGTATCTATGGTTTATCACCATATATAGTATTCAACATCTCTATTGTACCTAGTGATCGAACCGTGACATGCTCCGGAGATCATCTCACATGAGATGGGCAGGCGCTTTGCCAATGGATTGGCGTATCACTCCACCCCCACTCATAGAGCTAAGCTAAACAATGATGACGGAAATGCCGGTGCAAGAGTAAACAATGACGGAAATGTCATTCAGAGCCACCCCTGTCTCTCTCCGCGGAACTGCTCCCTACCTCCCTCGGGTGACCACTCTGACCGGCCCGCCACCCCTGGCTCGCTCTCCACCGTACCTGAGCAGCTAACTGCAACCGCAGCCGTGGCCGACGGCACGTCCTGCCGACGTTAGCATACTCACAAGGCACGGCGCTCCCCTAGCTACCTGTATGTGACTGAGCGTGCGTCTGGAGCGACCCTGCTAGTCCTCCCTTGCAGCTTTCGGGAAGTGATCGAGTATGAAAGTGAGGAGCTCACAATTATGTAAAGCGTAATGTGTGATTGATTGATTAGGTGAATGGAATCTACTTACGCAGTTTTCACTCCCCACCTGTATACGACTGAGCGTCCCCGTCAATATCACTCCCCACCTGTGGAGCGAGAGTGAGCGCCGAGCGCCGACGAGCGCAGATGTACAGCGGCTAGGATGACTAACGTGATGATAAACACTGGCTCCATCGCCACCCCCACTCTGCCCCCCCCCCCCAGCGAGAGGGGGGGCGCTGCTCGGACGACGGACCTCCAGCGCCGTTTGTGTACTCTGAGCCCTGCTGATCATTTGTACCCGACATCGATCGGAGTTTTTGCGGCGCCGAGCGTGCGTCCGTTCTGCCAGCCGTTAGTTCCTTCCGGTTTTTGTCTGTGCTGACAGCAGCGGAACGTCTCCCTGTAGAGAGGAAAGAGGGGGGATTTCACATCAGGAAAAGAGTCAGAAGTGGTGTTCCTGTGCCAGACATTCGCAGAAGCGGCATGCTCATCGAAGACATGGATCAATGAAATGGAAACAAACAGCGGTGACTCAGACTAGGCTAGGCAGTGCGGGCATCAGTAGCATCAAACCCAGGGAGAGATCGTTGTTTTGGAAGCAAAAGTGAGAGGATTGGCAGTGATGTAGACACTCTGAACTTTGGGACATAGTAACAGGGCGCGATAACTCCGGACTGATAGTGCCAGGCGGGCTACCAGTCCGTAGATAATGGCATAACCCGCGTCCCGTAGGGGGGGCCGTTTCGGCCCCCCTGTCCTTTTCCGTCGATATCTCCTAAACGGCTGGAGATATCGCCACCAAACTTTCAGGACCCCTCCGGGCATCAATTTTACACATTGTGACCAAAATTTTTCCAGAAGCTGTGATAGGTTGGCCATAAATGACGTCAGAATGACGTCATGTTCTGCCATTTTCGACCGAAAAAAGACCTTCGTGAGAAGAGCTGTCAGGCCTACAGCTTTGAAGATACCGAAAAATGATCAGAACATAAAAGGTGTAGAATTGACAGGGCTACAAAACTGCTATCTCGGATTTTTGAAATTTTTGAGTTTCGACCCCAAAAATCAAAAATGCGATTTTTTGGATATATTAGCAAAAAAATCCAAAAAGTTTTTTGAGTTTGGAAAAAAAACCGGAATATATGTGATAGTACCTACCGTCTTCTATCTACATACCAAATTTCAGATCGATATCTCGTTTTTTTGCCATGTTACAGCGAAAAAACTGTTCAAAAATGATGACGTCAAATTTTCAAACTCATTTTTTGGCAATTCTAGACCACGTAAGGCAAAACAAAGACCACCATTGGACTCCCCGTGACGAGCTGCATCGAATCGATACCCATTTTGTGCAAAAATATAAACTTTGAAATTTGACCTAATATGACCTGACCTTGACCTGACCTTCACCAAAACGTGACCTAAGCTGGCCCCAAAGGCTGCCTGACCCACATAATCGCATTTGTCATGTAAAATGGACCATAAAACATGTATCACACGACACTTTCATATTGTGACCCCCCAGTGACCTGACGTCTGTGACCTAACCTGGTATCAGTGACCTCAGATAGCGAAGTATGTGTTTGACGAACAATGTACCATCGATGGTTTTCAATACTTACCAATTTACTCGATTTCACAACACATTTCTTGAAATGCCTGTGAACGGTGAAAATCCGACCTTTGACCTGACCTGTGACGTCATCGGTTTGACCTAGGTCAATGAAATTTGGTCACAAGGTAGTTCCCGGGTGGGGCTATCGAACGCCGTTGGAATTTTGAAAATCGGCCGGTAAATTTCCGAGATCTTAGGGGGGGGGGGCCGAAACGCCCCCCCCCCTACGGGTGGTAGGGTCCGCCGGTAGCCCTACGGGGCGCGGGATAAGGGTGGGTTACAAAGGGTGGCTTTGGGGTAGCTTATCTCGAGATAAGTGACACAGTGATACAGACACACAGCTCATCCATAGATTGTGATGTAGGGTGACCGCTGAGAAGTTAGTGGTTAGCCATTACAAATATTTATCGGAGAGGTGCTCGCAGTCTTTGATCTCAAAATGTCGTTCAGCTGTATCCAGCACTTCTAATAACTAGTCTAATCTCACTTGACTCGCGCATGATGTCGCGTTATGTAAACTGTCCTGTCGTGCGGTTATGTTCCTTTGATGTCGCCCCATCAGATCCACTGATAACGTGTCCATTTCCCGTCACCTTCCTACCCTGTCGCCGACCCGGTCAGGCGTATTTGGGCGACTTTCTCCCCGAAACTGCCCGCGTGTCCACCTGCCAATTAACCTGGCGACTGTACGGACGGGTTCTTTCCGGACCGTTTCCGGTCGTCCAACGCTCCAAGGCTGACTGACCATTGTCTGGGAACACCGCCCTCGGGACCTAATCTGACCGAGTGCTATACCTTGTTAGATACATACTCACGCTATTTCGTAATTCGTTTAATTGTGGTAGTGTTGTCGGTAGCTAAGTCCTGCGCTAACGAATGTCTCACATCAAAATCAGATGCACCGCTGAAGGTCTTGATCCAGGCTCTCAAAGGCCATCTCCCGACTCTGTGTCACTCCTTGTCCGCTTCCACTAGCCACAGACGCCTGTCCCGACTCTCAGTAACCACTGACTCTCAGTCCGCTCCCAGTCCCCAGTAACTGCCGGCTCTCAGCAGTCATAACTGCCGACTCTCAGCAGTCGGTCGGTAGCGGGAGAGCCGCATTGTTTTCCTCCTCCCACGCCGCGCTCTGACTCGGCCTGCGGTCGGTCAGGCACGATCGCCCCCTCCCCCTCCCCGCGGCCCCCCACCTCTGCAGTACTGTGACCGGCGCGGCTCTCTGTTGCAGCTCGACAGCGGTGACAGCGGCGGCCGGCCGACAGGTCCCCACAGACGACCGGCAGACACAGACGGAACCCCGGCCCGGGCCCGGAACAGCACCTGAACAGGTGAGCAGGCGACCGAGGTGAATCAGCCCGGTCCGGGAAAAACGCAAATACACGGATCGCGTGCCGCCTAATGCATGCGGCGATGATTATTATCCGTGTGGTAGACGTCTTTCATGAATACGCCTGTCGCTGGGGCGGATCAGTCGTCCAGTCCGCTGACAAACCCGGCAGGACTCGATAGGGACTGATGTAACTACATGCTCTGGTACCTACACGAAATTTTGATATTTGAGGAATGGATGGATATAGTCTTCCCTTCACTGGATCCACCAGCGGCGTTAATAATGCAACTTATTTTTACCATAAGTGAGCGTAGCCACCCAATGCTAACCGCGCGATGTTCCCCTGAGTGTATAAGTGAGCCACGTCCTGTTTGGCAAGGGCGCTCGTGTGGTCAGGATGTGTAATGTTGGTGATCTGTCTGTCTGTCTGTCTGCATATTTTCTGTCTGCCTCACTGTGTCTGTCTAGCTGTCTGGGCAGCTTGTCTGTCTGTCTGTCTGTCCATCCGTCCCGGATCGGTCTGTGCTCGGTGCTGGAGACGATGGCGTGGCGGTCGTGGTGGTGCGGTCACCGATATGGAAATGTGCGGCGACTGTCGGGACGGGTGCCGATGCCGATCTCCCCTGTTTGGTCACTGGTATGGTCCGCCATGGTATGGTAATGCGCGGTGACGGCGTCCGGTCACAACCCAGGTGAAAGGTCCAGGTGTTGGTTAGTGCCGATCGGCAGGACATGAATTTATGCGTCACGCCGGCGGCGTGGTGCTTTATGTGTGTCGTTGGATCACTTGGGCGGACACGATCCGTGGTGAATATGTTGGGATTAGCGATATTAGCACTCCAAATTAGGGAGCTTCTCATCAAAACAATCCGGTGTTTACGGTCTCCTAAAGCTCCGGCGAATGTTGTTTTCGATTCGGTCTCTGATTAGCCCGAGAAATAGCAGGATTCGGGGATGGGTCGCATTACGTCATTCCCGTGATAAGGTATCCACCCTGCCTCGCTGGGTGGATCGGCTGCCAACTGAGGCCGCCGAACCCCTGCTCCAATCACGCCCCCACCATTCTGCAGCCGGTGTTAGTGCTGCGACTAGGCCGACCGAGCCATCAGCGGCAGATGTTTGGAGCCGGTAGGTTTACGAGCGACCGCCGCGCCGGTGCCCTGTGTTCTGACCCTCCCTCTCCCCCTCCCCGTCCGCAGAGAGTTCCGCGAGCCGCCATGGCCGACGTGCAGCTATCGCGAGTCGACGGCGGCGACCACCTTGGTCGGCAGAGGAAGCTGGCGTCTCCCGAGCCGTACGTTGCCACCGCCGGCTGGCCGGGGCCGGCTGTGCGCCGCCGTCCCGCCGCCGCCGCCGCTGTCTCTGAGGGCTCTTCCAGCGGGCGGGGCAGCAGCGGCGGCTCCGACCTGACCTCGGCAGAGACGGAGCCGCGTGTCGTGTCGCCGGCCGACTCCGGCACCGCTATCTCTCCGGCTGATGAGGGTCTCGGCTCGCCGCGCCGACGGCCCGCATCGCCGGCTGACTCGGGGCTCTCGGACGGTGGAAGGGCAGACGAGAGTGGCTCCAGTGAGCACACCGTCACACCAGAGTACGGAGACGGAGACACCAGCTCCGTCTTCTCCTGTGACGCTGAGGGATACTACACCTCCTTCCATATCGACAGTGGCCTGCGGGGAGCACCACAGCTGCCGGCGCGGCCGGACAGTCGCAGCTCTACACTGAGTGCGGGCTCTAGTGGGACGGCTCCGCGCTGCCGGCCCCCACCACCGCCGCGCGCCAGCTCTTTGGACTCTTGGCGGAGAGAGGGCGCCCCGCCGACGGGCTCCGCGCGGACCCGCTCCCCTGGCGGTGCCTCCCAGCGCTCGGGCGGTTCAGAGACAGATGGCGAGCAGTTCCGCAGTCGCACCGCGCTCACCACCGGCCGCATCCCGTCACTGTGTGTGGTGACTCCTCCGGCGAGCGAGGACGGCGAGCGTGGCTCTCCGGGCCGGCGAGCCGGCTCGACCACCATCGACTCTGACCGGGAGAGAACCCCGCGCCCCGAGGACGGCAGCAACTCCGGCTGGGTGGGCGACGGCCGGCCGCCCAAGGCGCCCTGGGGCGCGCCGCTCTCCGACTGGACGGGCAGCGATACGGGTGACAGCAGCGGCAGCGCGCGCACGCCGCCACTCGTCCGGCCAGAGGCGGAGGGAGAGGAACACAGCGGCGGTCCGGCGCGAGCCCGGGAGGCGGCTCCCTCGCCCGACTCGACGTCTCTGTCCCGGCTCAATGGTGAGTGGTGGACGCAGTGAAAAACACGTCCGCTGTAGGAGCTGTTTGTGCTCGTAATAGATCTGGTATCCGTGCGACCTCAAAAGCTTTGCTTCCTTTCTCGAGTGCTGTTCCGTGTCTGTGTATCTGTGATGGCGAATCGATGCTAAATAGGTCCGCTGACCTTTTACGATACGGTCGAGCATAGTCCCTAATGACGCCGCTAGTTTGCATATGCTTGAGTAAATTCCAGGAATGCATGCCACATTTGAGACTTTATATTGCACGTTGTCAGATGGTTGACTAGTTTTGAGAGCAATTTTTCATAAACTTTTCGCCGCAGTGTGCATCATCACAATACAGTTCCAGCATACTTTTCCATCGCCGTTTTATGTATCTTGAGTCGTAGCTCAATTGCTGTTGTCTCAGTTTGAACTTTGAAGTAGTATTGATCAGGAACCGTACTGGCATTACGAATTTGATTTGATTTGATTTACGAGCATTCGTATTTGCATCTGTAACCACTTTCATGTATGCATTCGATCGTGTCTCGGATGTTTGCTGTCTGAAAACCCGCGCCGTGTCCTGACGCAGCGTCTCTGTTCCCCAGGGAGTGAGTCGTGGTGCAGCAGTTCGCACAGCCTGCTCTCGACTGCCGACCTACCGCGCCAGATGGCAGCGCTCGCAGTATCGCCCTCCCGACCGACTGCGCGCTACGCCGGCTGCCCCGAGATGCCCGTGTACGACGCGCCGGTGCCGGTACGACCGGCCGTACCGCAGTACCAGTACCGGTACCCGTACCAGGGCCGGCCCGGCTCGTACAGTGCCCCGGCCTCGCCGATGACGGGTCCGCGCGCCCTGCCCCGTCAGTTCCCGGCGCCGGTTGGTACGGACGACCGGCAGCCGACCGACGCCGGGGTACGGTGTGCCGCTGAGCCGGCGGCGGCGCGGCGAGCGTCAGTGGCCGGAGCCACGCCGTCCTCGCCGCCGTGGGCGCCGGCCGAGGAGCTGAGTAGGCGGGTCTCGGACTCGGCCGCCTCGTCACCAGTGATGTCGCGCTCTGGATCTCTGGATAGACGCGCGGTAAGGCGATACACCGCCGCCGCCGCCGCGCGGATCTACTCCAGTCTCCGGCTGCTGCGAGGAAAGAAAGACTCTGCATCCACCGCTTCTGTCACGGACGGAGAGTCGGTGCAGGAGCTGGATGCCGTCCAAAATGAGACCGATCGGCGGGTACCGGCGCCTGGCTCTGCGCCGGTGCAGTACCAGCGCGGCCCGGCCAGCTCCCTGCCGCCGTCCGGGGACAGACCACAGCCTCAGCCTCAGCCGGCGCCCGTGTACCAGCGTCCCACGGGCACACCACAGCCAGCGCCGCCGCAGCAGCACGTGTTTCGACACCCGAGTCCGATGCCTCAGCAGCGCCGTCCGCCGGAGCAGCGGTACACGCTGAGACAGTACGCCCAGCTGGTGGCCACCTACCGGCAGCAGCAGGAGCTGTACGAGCGGTACCAGCAGGCTCAGCAGCAGCAGCAGCAGCAGGCGCAGCAGCAGGACCCGGCGCGCCGGCTGAGTGCGCCGCTGACGGCTCCGCGCGGCCCGCAGCAGTGGCAGGCGGAGGGGCATTACCAGAGCCCTCCGCTGTGGCCCCGTCAGACCTGGGTGCCCTCGCCGAGTCCGTCCGACCCTCAACAGGAGGCTGAGCGGCGTGTCAGCCTCAGTCGCCATCAACAGCCGAGCCAGGATCGACTCCTGCCGCAGACGCCAGTCGGACCGCCACAGGGCCGACCGCTGCCCGACGTCCCACCTGCTGCCTCAGCCGGCCCGCAGCCACCTCCAGCGACCGCCAGCCAGCAGTCGCCCAGACCACAGAGCCGCTCTCCGTTCGGTTTCGGTCGCTACAGCCTGCGAGTGCGCGGCTCGGAGCCGGTTGTGCAGGAGCAGCGCCGGCCGGCTGAGGCCGAGCAGGTTCCAACGAGCCCCGAGCGTCGGCAGCAGACCGACAGCACGCCAGCTGAGGAATCGCACAAGACGAAACGACACAAGAAACGCTGGTTTTTCACTCTTCCCGGAAAGAGTAAGAACAAGGACAAGAGAAAATCGAAGACGGATGAGAGCTCAGATGATGACGGCGGATTCGCTCCGACCAACGGTGGCGGGTCCAGTTTCGTTCGATACGAGGCACCCGACTCCGTGTCGTCAGGCGTGTCATCACGTGCCTCCACGCCGCTCACAGATGCCTCTGTCTCTTCCTCTTACTTTGAGATGGAGCAGTACTTCCCGTCGCTGAACACAAGTCACGGCAGCGGACCACCGGCGCGGCCGCTCTCATCCCTCTCCGAAGACTCACGCAGTCTCCGCTGCCAGTTGTCCCCTCAGATGCGCGCTCCGCGGCCGCCCAACTTCTCCGACCTCGAGTACAGTCCCCCGGAGGCGGCAGCAGCAGCAGCGGCAGCCGAGTGGCGCAGGCAGGGGCCGGGCGCGCCGGTGGCTCAGTCCCCGCGGCTGCCCGGTCGGCAGGGTCCTTTACCCCCTCCGCCGCCGCCGGCCCCTCTCTCCCCGAGGTCTGTGGTCGGTCAGCAGCAGCGTCAGTGGGCAGCAAACCATGTGTCCCGGCCTACCCCCGGCGGGTCCCAGATCTACGGCAGTCCGACGGTGTTCGCCCGGCCTCGCGGACCTCCGACGGTCGGCGCTGGTCGCGGCTGGTCACCGGTCGCTGCGCCCCGTCTCAGTGAGCCCGGCCAGCGTGCCAGCTGGGCAGCCAGCGGCGGCGGCGGCAGCCCGCGAGCCGCTCCGGCCGGCCAGCGCAGCAGCTGGTCGGGCGGACCCCCTGCACCGCGCTCCCCGGCAACTCGGAACCAGCTCACGAGACCCACTCCGCTCAACGACTTCAAGGAGCTGATCGCGCGCCAGGGTCGCTCGCCGGCCGGCGGCGCGCCAGGCCGTGGGTCGGCCACGGAGAGGCTGCGAGCCGCCGCTGCTGCAGGCACCCCCGCCTCTCCGGCGGCCAGCCCGGCGTCCCAGTCACCGCTGGACGCTCGGAACTCGGCGCGCGCCGTGCTGTTCCAGAACCGATTCGGTGGTCGTCGCGGCCGGCCGCCGGGTACCAGTGTCATAGCGACTACTATACCGGAGACTGAGGATGAACTGAGCGAGGAGCCGCCCCCGCCACAGCCGGCCGGCCCGCCCAGCCGCCGACAGCTGTTCCCGGCGGCTGGCGACGCTCGGTCCTCCTCGTCCGGGTCCTCGCCGGACCGGACTGCCGGCGCGCCGCTGCGCATGAGCCCCTCCTCGCCGCCGCCGCCGTACTCAGCTCCGTCTGATGCACGTATTCTGCCGACCGGGCTGGCTGCTGAGCGACACTTTACTCCGGTCACAGGACCGGCCGCAGGAGGCACCGGCGGCTTCCGACGCTCCTACAGCCTGCCGAGACACGGCGATCAGCGGCCACCTATCGGCAGTATCTCGAGATATCAGTTCCAGGGCCGGCCGGCCGGGGCGCTGCCCTCGCCGGCGCCGGCTGCCAGCCCGTTTCAGCGGACGCGTTCCCTGATGGCCCGGCTGCCCAGCGGCTCTGAGCGGCCGAAGGCGGCGGCTGGTGTCTCGAACCCGACCCCCGCTCAGTCTCCACCCTCATCGCGGGTTGAGACCACCATCTGAGCCGGGGGAGCGGGGATCAAGCTGTCAGCCGGTGACAATACAAATGACACGATAAGCTGTGAAGAGATCGACACCAGACGGCAGGCAGCAGCTGTCACGTTCAATAAACAGGAGTAATTTTGTTTGCTTCGTGCTTTTTATTCGTTATTGGCAGCTTTAGATGTTTTATGATGTTTTTAGGGTGTTTGATTACTGCAAACGCTTATAATGACCCATACCTGTTTGAGTTTTGTTACGGTAAAGCATGATGAGTCATGAGCTTTCCTTTATGTCGGTGTTCATCCATATGTCGCCCAGTCCAAGAAGGCTGGACACCTGGTCCTGCGGTGAATCCTGCGATACCTGCGAATCGTGCTCGGACTTTGTGGGGCATGTACGAAGGTGTACCTACTCGCATAACGCATTTGCTTGCTTGTCTTAGGTCCCAATTTCAGAAAATACATTGCTGATATACCGATCTTACTTGAATGAGAGCTGTAAGCACTGACTTTGCGGATCTGCATAGCATAGCTGAGAACGGGGACAACGCAACGAGCCTGGAACTACAGACGCGCACGGTTACGTAAATGCGCAAGCAAAATATTCAGCTTTATCAATGCATGATAGGTGGAACGACGAATGTAGTATTATATAGTTGGGCGTGTTATGAGCGAAACAAATAAGCTAGTAAATCCTCGAAGCGCAAAAACCAGCATCATCTTCGCTACTATTAACATGGAGCGGCCATGGTGCTTTATCTTCAGAACTTCGAATTATCTTCTGTTCACCTCCATACAGCTGAGTAAGAGGCACTGGCTGGGCTGACATTGGACAGATATGGATATGTGATTACTGAGGGGCGAGGGCCGATGAGAATAGAATTTGAGCTGGAGGCTGGACTGAAGCGTAGAGGGTCGTTATAAGTTGATTGATCAATGATTAAAGCCCGCAATGGGAGTTTGTTTCGGGATATCATAGTGCTCGTACGCAGTTAGGTATTTTGTAAAGGTATTTTGGCTTGACTGTTAAATCACCTATTACCTATCTAGCCAAGCCAGTAAAATTGGTCTGGGCCGTATTTGGGCTCCGGCGCTCACTCCGGCCGAAGTACGGGCATGGTCTTGAGCTTGACACACGATATCCCAGAGCTAGCCCGCACCATAGCCGAACTTATGAGGATCAGCCGTGTCCTACCTCGACCGTACTTCAACCTCGGTAAGCCAGAGCAGCTACGAGGCAGCCGGACCTGACCGTACGGCACGTCGCGGCAGGGAGCCGGACTTGGCGTTACGAAACCTTACCAACTCTCCGGAGCGCTACGGCAAAGACTGGCTAACCGGAATGGAGCCATATCGGTCCAAAACCCCTGGTTCGACGGCGTTCCATTTATTCGGGCCCAAATCTGGATAGAGAATTATAATTCTATATAAGAAATATTTAAGTACTTTTGCTTAGTAATAGATGAATACTTATTATTTAGTGATAAAACAGTACATACAGGGATTCCTTTCACGTCAGCCATTTTGAAATCCTAACAAAAAATGACGTAGGTGCACGGTAATTTTTAACAAAAAAAGTGTAAATTATTTTTAGTGGTCTAAAAGTACGATTATTACAAGACTCTAGCACAAATTTAATGTTTTATTTATGTATATAGCGATATCATAGGTTTGAGTTTTAAAGTGAGGTAGGTATTGTTAAATTTGACGTCATTTATTTCAAATGTTCATATTGGGTAGTTTACGAGTAAGCTGCTATGCGCACTGCGCATGTTTAGTCGCAGTTGTGTGCCCGGGTGGTGCGCGTCGGTTTGCTGCGGTTGCTCGGCTCGCGAGTATTTGGGCGTGGCTGAGAAATCTTCTTGATTTTCTCGTTTTTGTTTTAGATTTATTTTGAACACTCCTTGCTTGATTTATTGCTCCTCTTGAATGCACGTCTAAAGACACCGCTGACGTAGTCCGGGTGTGTTCTGTTGGGAAACACTCAGGGTAAGTTATAGCAAAATTTAAGCTTTGTCTAGTTGATATGGCCATTTTGATTTCTGTTCAATTTTGGTATTCATACATGCTCATTAATCCATCAAAAATAAATCAAGTGAAAGTTGTCCTACACTTTGATGCGCATAACGTGATGCAGCTGAATTGCGTGATTTGCGTAATATCGTTCTAGAAAAAAGTTATTACTTATATAACTTCTTTAATATTTATTTAAAAGTTGATAAAATTTTTATATTAATTAAAATTTTGTATGGAAAGCATATAACAAAAATGTAATGTCGTTTCATTCTAGAACGATAGAACGCAAATCACGCAAACTTGAACTTGCAAAAAAAAGCACGCAGAAAATGCATAGTGTAGCCAGGCCTTATCTTATCTGTCTTCAAAAGACTTTAAATTTAAAGCATTTTCCAAGTCAATTTATGAAAATAAATATCACCAGATCAATGTGTGTGTAGCTGGTTTCCTATCAAGATCGACATTGATGTCGTTGGCGAACAGCTGCACCTTATAGATATTCATTATAGCTGATACAAATAGGTTTTTCTGTTTTGTGTGTGTTCTTTTTTAATTGGACTGTTATTATTTCCATGCATCATTCTCTGACATGATACTAAATTCCAGCTATAACCCACATCAACATGGGCAGTGGGCACAGCCACACTTTGGCATGCCCAATGCACATACTGATACCAATACAAGGCTTAGGTGCAATGTTGGAATTGTCATTTTCAGTCCAGGTTCAGGAGGATAAAATCTGTATTCTTATTATTCTTTAATCTGTATTCATCATTATTCTTATTATTCCTCTTATTATTCTTATTTTTTAACTTATTATATATGTATAGCCTTCCAAATCTCTTGCCAAATTCAGTGTGCCTTCAGTTATTGAATGCAGTGATGAGAGCACAAACAAAGAGCACATTTTGCAGCTACCAAACAGTGTCATTGCCTTGGGAGTGATGTAATGTTTCTCTACTGATAGCGTTCTTATTTTTCAGGCCCTACATAGTGCTGCAGCAATGGACAAATCAGCCAGGCTTCTGGTGCTGCTGCTTTCATCTTTCCTGGTGGTGAGTGTTTGTCCCAGTACGTGGGCCCTTAATTGGGCTTTCAAAGCCTATATTGTGTTGCATTGCAAGTGCATTAGTATGTGACACTGAATGTGAATGTAGTGTGACTGCTTCCTCCATTTGGTGTGTCTGACTGGCTCATCATAAGACTGCTCTGTTCATTTTTCTTTTCTACTGTCTGCTAATGCTAGAGTCTAGCTAGAGCTAGAGTCTATAAATACCCACAGCCTGATGTGACATGCTTTAGAAATCGCCCTAACTGCTGCATCTTTCAATTTCACTCCGTAAATGCTTGTGCACGTCGTTCTTGTCCTTCTGAGGAACACTGCTTATACCGGCCGTGTGAGACGCTGCTGGACGCCGTTACCACCGTTACAGTTGGTACGGTATAGGCTGGATATGGGCTCCTATGGTCCGCTGTAGTCTACCATGGCCTGCTGTGGATCACTGTCATGGCTCACTCCAGCTCGCCGTTGTTCGTTGTGATATGCTGCTCTTCACTCTACTGTGCTGTGGACTCAGTGGAGCTTTACGCTGTTCTCTGTTGCGTCGCGCTCCTCTCCGCTCTGCTAATCTGCTGGGAGCTGTGCCTAAGTACAGTGTTCCCCTGTTCTCCGTTGTGATGTGTTGCTGTGACGGGCTTCCCTGTGTTGCGCAGCGGACTCGGTGGAGCGTTCCGCTGTTTTCCGTTGTGTTGCACTGCGCTCCGCTCTGCTGTTGGGTGGACTCTGTGGAGCGTTCCGCTGTTTTCCGTTGTGTTGCACTGCGCTCCGCTCTGCTGTTGTGTGGACTCGGCGGAGCGTTCCGCTGTTCTCTGTTGCGTCGCGCTCCTCTCCGCTCTGCTAGTCTGCTGGGAGGTGAATTCAGTGAAGCGTCCGCGGCGGCCAGCGGTGACGGGCGGTCGGAGAAAGGTCCACCGAATGCGTGAGCACCGCCGCTGGCGACCGTAACAGATGGTCAGGCTGGGCACATATCAGAACGACAGAGGTTTTTGAAAGATCTCGTGATAAGTGTAATCGTCAGGATAAGTGGTATGCTGATTTCCACAAGAAAAATTTGACATGGGTGTTTTGCTGACATCAAAGTGGAACGTCATGGTACAGCCCTCTGCAGACTGCGTGGTAGGTATTCTTGTTTTCGACAAAACCGGGAATAACGCGAATGCTTATGCTATTGGCCACTCGGGAATCGTAACAGCAAGATGCGCTAGACTCCGTACCTTAGATTGGGCTTATCATGTCTACATTTTCCATCCAGTTTGGCAACAAAACCCAAAAGTTTATATTTGCCCCCAATGCAATTTTTTTGCATTTTGTTGCCACACATGGCGCGTATACTTTGTTTAGTGATCGACCCAATGGAAGGAGTGGAGCTTGGCGCATCCATGTGCAATGATTTCTGACCGACTGATAACATAGCCTTTGGGTTATTATCCGTATTGTGGAAAAAGGAATACCTACCACGCAGTCTGCAGAGGGCTGTACTTACCTATTTTGTCCCGGATCCATAGGATGTCACAGCAAACAAGATAAAAAATCACTCAGCCATGAATTTTTTTGTTCCGATCAGCGGTATTCCATCGAAAAGTTTGAATCGAATTTTTGACTTCAAATAGTTAGGTTCAAAATACTTCCAAGGTAATCAAATTCAACAACTACACAGCCTGAAATTACAGATGTGAGCTGATTTGTCCCAAATCAGAGGGCATCTCTGTTTCGGCGCCGCGTCTCAACTTCTACCCTCGTTGTTCGTTTCAGTTTGCAGTAGTTTTAGGGCCTTGGTTTCAGCCTGTTATAGTTACATTGCAAGTGTGAAGGCCCGGCTCGCTGCAGCGCTCTCTGTTGCGGGGTCAGACTAGGCGATCGTGCCTCAGTTTACCACTGTTGCCGAGCGGTGTGACGGGTTGGATCGGAGCCGATCGGCTGCTGGGGACCGCCGGTAGCCGGCTGTGTGCGCCAGGTGGCCCAAGTGGGCCGCTGTCTGTCGCTCATCGGACGTATGGCCGGCCGCCGGCTGCCGTGTGTCGGTTTTGTGCTGGATTCCCCGGCGGACAGTGACAGACGGACAGTTAGCTCCTTCCTGATGGCTTGTGTTTAGGGGCGACGGCTCCGTTCTGGCCGTCGAGGGTTGTCCTTTGATGACCAATCGGGGAGTCCACGACTGCCATCAGACCCTACAAAGATCGTCGACCCGCGGCCGCCTGTTGAGCCAATCGTGCGCCGCGCTCCGCCGATGCTCTCGACCATTACACCATTACCCAGTTGCGAGTAATCGGCGCCGACGTCTGGCGGCATTCAACGGAGCTCGGGGAGAGCCCAGTACAAAAGTGCCACGGTTACTGGCATCGTTTTAGCCTTCATGGAAGCCTGAACGTGAAAAGACAATAATAGAGCAACTGTTGAGGCCGCTGCTCTTGTATTATGTATTACAGTCGACCTCTGTCTTTATCATACATTTATTAGAATTTCATGTTCCCTGTAATCCACGTTGCGTCACTGCTGAATACCCTGCCATTGCCAGTGCGTCTGATGAGACCCATGGCGTTGTGGCCTGCCGACCCGCCCATTGCCGGCTGGCTGGCGTGCTCATCCGCCCGGGGTGCGTGCCTCCCTGTCGATGTGTGCGCCTCTGGAACGGTGCCGAGGTCAGCCAGCTGCCGACCGGGGGTCAGGGCCGGCCGCCTAGCCACCGACTGGCCGTTGGTCGCGCATCGACCCGGCATCCAGACATACCCACGGCGCTGACACGCGGTCCGAAATACCCATGGCTGGTGACGTGCTATGTGTCTGGCCGGCCTGCGGAGCCCCCCGGTGCCGGCCGATACACAACACTCCGCCCTCGCCGCCGGCTGAACGATGGGTTATACCGATGGTCAAACCATGGACAACAGCCGCGGAGGGACTTCGCGCTGGCAGTTGGAGACGCCAGCTGCACTGCGCTCTACCCTTCGCCTCTAAAACATCCCTCGGGCTGAACCACTAGTGATTTACGCTAGCTGGGGGTGACAATAATTGTACCTCTAAAGGCAATCCCTTAGCCCATTTGAAAGGCGACCACCGTTGTGGAAACATATCTACAAAAACTGGTGAAGGGAGTGTACGGCACCCGCTTGTAGAAGGGATTTTGGACGACGCCGAGGCCGGTCGTCGACCAGTCTGAGGGAGGGGGAGTGAGAGGGGCGGTCACCGTGGCGTGTCGGCCAGGCCGTGTCCTGAGGTCGGGCTTGTCGGTATCGATGTGACAACGATCGATCGGCCGCGCCATGACCGACGGGTCGATGGGGCGGCCGACGGGCCGAGCTGTGGTTACCGGCGCCGTCCGTGGTCGCCCGACAGGTGACTGGCGCCATCGGGAACGACCATGGTATCCAATGGGTGACCGTAATGCCTCTGGCTGCAGACACAGGTGCCAACCCTGGTACTCTTGGAGGGACATCTCTGCGGGTCATGGTAGGCTGACTGAGCGATGACCGCTGGGTGTCGTTCTCTGCATGTCTGACCTTGGTCCAGGTCATTCATGTGTGCTGAGTGGAGAGAGGTATGACACACAGACGCCGTACTGAGCGACGCTGCAGCTGAGGTCACCTGGCCGCAGCAGGCCGGCGCCACAGCTGCCGCCTCAGGTGACGCGATGACGCATTGTCACTACCGTCGCGTCACCGAGTACCGGCTGTAGCGGACTCGCGCACAGGTGCCGGCCGGCGGGCGGCCCCCGGCGTGTGACGGATCTCGCCGTAGGACGCAGCCAATACACGGGCCAAACCCGCCGACAGAGGCCTGGGCCCGTTGGGCGTTGACTGACCACCTCTGATGACGTCAGCACCTCCGGTGTCGGCGTGTTTTGGCTGGCGACGGTAGAAGTGGGCCGGCCATTTGTTGGACGGCCTGCCAGGTTTCGGACGCAGTCCTACAGGTCCCGGGCGGCCTATCACAGAGAGCTGTGGTCGGGGATGGGCCGCAGCTGGGGCGCAGTGGGGTGGTTTCCCCGGACGGCCGAGACTGATAAGGCAGACTTCTGTAGATCAACTGCCAGACTGGAGGCGATTTGTGAGGCTGCCGGTTGGATATACTGGCCAGACGGGCTGACCAAGTCGACAGGGCAGATCCCGCGACTCTGTGGCGACCTTGCTCTACTGGCAGAACCGCACCCACACGTGACTGTCTTGGTGCATTTCCATCTGACCCATAATCGGCCCGGTCGGCGGCGACGCTTCCTCACGCCGTCCCCGTCCCCGTTTCCACCAGAAGCGGTACGGAGCACGAGTGTGTTCGCAACCGATCTGTGGCCTTCCTGCACACTCACACTGTCGCTCCGATCAGGCTGATTTAGCACGCGCGACGGCCTACTGCTTGACTTCTTGTCTACTTTCATCGGCAAGGGGGGTGACTTCATTCGGGCCGTCCTCCGTCTGAACACCGATCCGCAGGGCCCAGAAACGACCAGGGAAGCAGTCTGTGAATAACATGTCGAGTTTTCGTTGTGCGATATACATTACGAACATACGTGCGGCACAGGGAGAAGTCACTGGTCGCATGGTTCGAGTGGGCTGCTATACCGAAGTTGGCTGTGAACTTGGTAAATGTAGGATATGTCGGTTAGTAATTTGGTATCAACCTCGGTAAGCGGTTTTCAGGTCGGAACTGCGTGGGCGTATCAGTACTCAGTAGTTAATATCGGCGTAGGTTTACATCAAAACTTGTCGAGTTGAGTTTATTACGCGGTAGCGAGATGTGAGTTTGATATGCATCGTGGTGAATAGCAGCGTCTTGATGTAGGTACTTCAATCCTTGCATAAAGTGCTGCAATCTGGGTGAAGCATTCCCAATGCGGCCTATTTCTGCGCTATCTGCGCTGTGCCACGGCGCAGTGGAAGTAGTGCAGCGGATCGATGCAGTGTGGGTACACAAGATACCGCCAAATAACGAGGCCGGCGCCTGTTGCGGGTCAGGCTGAGCTGTATGTCTAAGTTGGACACAGTCTGAAACCAAAACGCGCCTGTT